TGCTGAAATTCAAGTTGCCTGTAGTGGCTACACACTAAAAAGATTCAATTTCAGCACAATTCCACATCAGAGGGGAGAGACGAAAAGTGCAAACCTTTTTAAAATCTATTTAGCCTCTGTGTTACGTTGCTCGGATTAGAGACCTGGCCCTTCTTAAGGAGCTGAGGCTGAATGTAGAAAAGAGTAGAGGAAAATTACTCGGGTAACCCTTCCGGGGACAGGCATTCTGTTAAACACAATGAATGAGTGAGTGCCAAGGAGTTACATCCAGGAGCACAGCAATCATTTAGTTACAGGCAATTAACAATAGTCCTCCAGTAGCGTAGGAACAATTCTACTCCAAGGGAAAACACATTGATTACTGCAGCAGAAGTAGATTGGTTTCTGAATAAATAGCTTCAATTTAAAACAAGATTTGTTATAAGCATTTCAACCAATGGCTACATTATTTTTCCTTACCAGGACCTTTGACCAAGCAACCCAGTGAAAGAGATGGATAATTAAAACAAAGTATGTGTCCTCTCCAAATATCTGGCATGATATTGCTGGTCATAACAGCACTAGTTTTGTACTGATTCTAGACTAATTATTAGGTGTATTTGTAAGATATATCTCTGATCTTCACCTGGCTTTAATATTTGATAAACTCACTTCCATTGTGTCATGCTAGTAATTCACTTATCATAGCTGGAGTTGTAAAAAGAAAGCAAACAAAGGGGTGCCTTCAAAGATTTCTATCATTTGACTTATGTGACATGCTTCAGGGACTTTACATTAAATGATCTGCGATAATTTTAAATTAATCTTATTCTATTCATTAGTCCACATACAGCTGAGCTACTAAGGAAAATAATTGTATTTCAAATATTCCTTTTTTTGGTGATTTATAGCTCTTTGAGGACATATGATTTATAGCTGTGTATTCAATTTCTGAGCCTTTTTCAAAATCCAATTACAGTCTATCTAAGGTTTCAATTTTGCAATCACTTATGCAGATTGCTTAACTTCATGGACTATAAGTAATCCCTCCAAAGTCAACAGGACTATTTGCAGAGCTTCAGGTTAGTGCATACATAAATCTTTGGAACTTCATAGCCTAAACTAATTCTCAGTCTCTGCTTGTCTTGGACAATTTAACGCACAAATCTGCAAGGTTTGCTGAGACACAGTTCTCAGGCTGTCTAGGCATGCTTTCATAGGCTTGAATTACTAAATGAATATACTTTGATAGGGGAGCAGTTGGAGACAATACCAAAGCTCTCAGGATAACACCTGAGAGAAGGCAAATAAGGGAGATACTGACAACTAGCACAAGACAAATATGTCACCACGTGCAGATTTGGTTATAAACATGTGTGTTTCTTCTAAAAGAAGAAGGAGGCTGGCTAACACAGGAATACACATTCGAGTTTCATTTCAGACTTGAGCTGGGAACAGTAGGCAGAGATTAGGAAGAAAGAAACCCATACTTACAGTTTAAAAATGTAGAAATATGTGCTTTTTTTCTCTCCTTTTTTATTATTTTTTTTTTCTGCTTAATACAGTATTCATTATGGCATGGCTGCAAAACAATTCATCTTTCCAAAGTACAGCATATGAAACCACAGCTTTATACCGTGTGTACATTTCCAATATGCATATATACATATATATAGATATATATATATACACACACACAAAATCTATATTCTACTTTTTCGGGTTTTTTGTTTGTTTGTTTCAACATGTCAAACAAAATCTGTTTCTATTTAAGGTACCTAGATGACTTTATGAGTACTGTTGTGAATAATTACTGATGGTTATTGTAGGACAAGAATACTTCTGATAGCAGTGGAAACAGATTTAGGATGT